ACATCGCTTTGCGTTCCGCCGGTTTTTTTGATGATCTCAGTTATTGAGTTCTAGTAAAGTATATGAAGTTTCTAGAAGTAAACATTCTCTTATTAATTACCCAAAGTTACTCTGTCATCGCTATTACGTTGTTTCTTCTATGATAACGTGACGTTTCTAATCTAACTAATTCGCTCAATGTAATTTTTCGTTTTCCTTTTTAATTTCACTTAGTTTAGATTTGCTCAGTTTGGGTTGGATAACTGTAAGTTATTTGTCGATGTTCGCTATTAATGCTGCGATTCGCTTCGTCGAATAAAGAAATATCCATTTGAGTGAATTCAATATTAACGTACATTAATGCGGAACTTAAACAGATAAGTAATGAAAAAAGGTAGTAAGCATATACATATGGTCTAATAGTGTTTTAATAGAAAGATTTTTAATACTTTAGCACTTCAATGAAAATTCAAGTAAAAGTAATATGATCATTTGTCCACACATGTTTGGTTGTTTCCCATGTCAGCCTTTCAGCACCACTGTAATAGAATTAGGGTTCGAGACATATTATATCTCTTTGAATTGGAATAAAGAGCTGGCAAAATGAATCATGGTTTTGCGTTTTCCTGCTGTTTTTTTTTCTGTGTGTGTTTTGGAGGGGAAGCGAGGAAAGCAGAGGTTACAGCTTGAGGTTTGAATATCCATTCCAACGACCTTACAGCGAAATTGCTTTGAACTCACCAGAAAAATCGACATAGAAAAACGACAGCTGTAAAAAGGGGAAGAAAGAAAGAACTGTGATTACAGCAACGAATGATATGACAACACTTTCCTCAATACCAGCACCGGAGATGCGTCCGCATTCACCGTATAGACCACCGGGAGATAAATCTGCGTGGTCAACGAAAACTAATTTAGAGCGGTAAGCTCTTTGTTGTTTTCTTCCTGCGAAGTACAGTCTTTTTACAGTAGCGTTGGTAAATGAACCGGAAATGTATGAAGTTAGAATTGCCCTAATTTTTCATTCGAATTATGTTGCGTGAACAAAAGCTTATATCAGAGAAAAGTATCATGGATATAGTTCGTATCTCGCAAATGGGATGAATGTGCTTATGTAAATGGATAATGGTTAATTAAATCAAAGGAGGTTTTTAAAGCTTGTATAGACTGTGTAAATGAGTTGATTTTTATGGATATGACATGGTGGCACTACAAAACAATAGATTTCTTTTTTTTTTTTCAGAGTTATTTGGATTCTGCAAACACCGTTCCGTACTCTTTTATGTCTGTCAAATGTTACTGTCTTTTTTGTCACCTATTTTGGCTTTATGCTTCCAATTCTTTGGGCCCGATCTTTATGGTGAGGATTTCCGAGTTTCATTGCTGGAATGAAATTGTCCACTTCAAGTCATGCAACTAGACTTAGACTAAGGGTGGCCGAAAATCCGCTATAGTCCTAGTCATTTTTTCATTTCAATAATTGTTTCAAAAGAAATTGTTCATAAGTTTTTAATGTTAGAAAATGCATAGTGAAATATTCATATTTAGGCCGAGACTGTATTGGTTTTATGAAGGGAAACTTTATTCTTGGTTACAAGCATTCATTGGTTATGCCGGCTATACTGCTGGATATGATGGTTGGTTTTTTAGCAGTTTCAGAACACTAATAGAAGTGAATTCCAGAGCTTCTTTCCTTTTTCCTACAATTCTATCTTTTCGAACATTTCGAAATCTTCTGGAATATTTTTAGTGTATGAATACGGCGATGACGTTAGAAAATTATGTGTTGATGAACGGATTATTCTTATGTGCAATCATCAGAGTACCGCGGATGTTCCTATTTTGATGACTACTCTCCAAAGCAAAGGAGTTGCGAGTAGAAAGGTGAAAGGTTCACTACTACAGTAATGAATCTTAGGGATTATTGAGCTTAGCTGGTTTTTTGCGTGACTGTATGATTGTGTTAGTGTTTGCTCTGATTTTCTTTGTCAAGTAAAATTTTGATATTCCTTTTGTAGCTGTCAGCGTTGAAAATTATCCCTATATGTAAGCAAGCACATAAATAGAGCAGTTTTTCAGACATTATGGTTGATGGATGTTATGTTTCGATGGACACCTTTCGGAATTATTGCTCAGATGCATGGTGATTATTTTATTAAACAAGGGAAAGCAACACGAGAAAAGGAGCTGATTCGTTTAAAGGATCATTTACGGAAAGTTTTTTGGGATCGTGACAGGCGTTGGATTATTCTGTTCCCAGAAGGCGGTTTCTACTACAAAAGAATTCAGTCTAGTCAGAAGTAATTCAAAGCTTTGTTAAAATGGAATTGAGATTTATTTCATAATTATGAGGTTGAGTTAGATGTAGTAAAAAGGCAGGTAAGCAAATGACAAATGCATAACAGTTTCGAGTAATTAAGATTACAAAATTCACAAACTTGAAATCCAAATTTACTAGGGGTTTTGCATCACCTGCGATGTCGAATTGAAATGCTAGGCCTTGGTGCATGCTTGATTATACTGAAATGGACGTTCATGGGTGTGACGAGTTTTACTGATAGCCAAAACAGTGATAAATATTCAATCGCAAAGCCGTTGCTGCGAAAGGATAGCACATTTCAAGTATATGAGTTGATACGCATATTTCGTGATATCTAGGTACGGTTATGAAAATGGCTACCCCCACCTGGAACATGCAACATTACCCCGTTATGGTGCTATTAAAGCAATTATGGAGGAAGTTGGTCCAAAGAAAGGTTACAAATACACAGATGGTATAAACACGTCTGAAAACGGTAGCAAATTGCAGCTTATTCGGGATACAGTTGGAGCGATCAGAGAAAAAAAATACATCAAAGGTTTTTTATTCTTCCCTTGAGCGGTCTCTTTTTATAATTTTTAAGGATTGGTAGATGTAGCACAGGAAATTTCCAGCAAGTTAATAAAATATTTTACAGACATGGTAAGTTGTGAACGAAAAAAACAAAATATTCAGTTTTTAATATAACTATTAGTAGTAAAGGGTAGAAAAGTCAGAAATTTTTTTTCGTCCTCAAGATATCGGTCTGCTTTTCGTTATACTTGTATTTTTTCCAGTTTGACATTTTCTACAAACAAAATACAGATCCGTAAGTGTCTCTTGTTACTTTAAACTCGTTCAAAAAACTCTTCATTATTTTTTACGAAGATGTTGTGAGAGAAATGTTGTTTGATAGAACATATTTATTGCGTCGTAATTTTTTCATATTTATTTGCTTGAAAGTGTTCACAAATTGAATAGCCGCTAGACTAAGACAATATTCAGACTATTAGCTTTTTTACATTAGCTATCGGATAATTAACGAAGCATTTTTTGATACTCCGAATTCGGTTTTATAAGTTTCAAAGAGTTCAGTTAAAGCACTGATATAAAGTCCATGCAGGCGATCAATTTCTTCTTCGGTTGGATTTTTCTTTTTCATCACGGGTATGGGTGTTCCCACAATAGTATCGACGGGTTTGCTAGAAATTAGTGTTCTTGATGCGCATGTGGTAATAGAGATTCTAACGAAAAATCTGAGATTAATTTTGCTTAGTGTCAGAAATTTTAATTTTGGGGAGATTTCCTTGGAAGTGTTACAAACTAACGGTCGTTAGACTAAAGATAATATTCGGTATTATTAGCTTTTTTGGAGAACGAGGCCGCGATTTTGTATAGGCTATTTCATATTTAAGGGAATATTTTCATGGATTGGTTTCTAATGACTACCAAAATTCATAAAATCTACCGAAGTTTTGTAAACTTGAATAGTTTAGACCTTCACTCAAGACCATACTACTTGATTTTGGCGAATAGCTTCACCAGGTTTTATTATGGTTTACATCGGAAATGAATTTCGAAACTTGCCTATAAGGAAGCGGTCCAAAATTTCTGAATAATCCACAGCCATAGCATATTGGTAACGAGCATTTCATAATTTTCTTCAGTTTACTTTGAAAACACCGTAAATAAGACCCTTCAGAATTGCTGACCTGGAAATGACTTTATTCTGCTTCTTGTGTTTTTTTACACACGATCAAGCAGATCTTCATGATTTTCATGGGAATTTTTTAGAACTGTTTCTCACCTGTTCGAAAAGGTCGTTTTCCCCAAAGCAGTACATTGGCACCAGTTGGGCACCTGTTTCTATTGCAATTTTTATGAAGCCTTTTCGTTTACTTAGTGTTAAGATGTGGCTACCCGGATGTGCATCTAGCGCTTCTTCCGCTCCTCCTGAAAATTTTTACTTTTAATAAACAATAAACCCATAAAATTTCCTACTCTTCGAAACATTGAAATTTCCTACTCTTTAGTAGTGCCATTATATCGGATAAGACTGAATTTCTTGATATATTGATCGATGTGTCAAAGGTTTCTGTTCTTATATATCAGTTTTCATATATGTTGTACGTACCCACGATAAGTATAACAATGTTGTTGATGGAGCTTTCGGTATTCAACACATAATATAGGCTATCTTTACTGCAGTCAATTAATCCATGTAGCATTGCCCATTCGCGACGCAATGGTATCCAAAATTGCGATGCCAATGTGCATACGCGCACATTCATTCCAGGGATTTTTTCAAACAGTCCAGTACCATTGGTTACAAAATTGGCAAATGTATTAATAGAAATAATTCCATGTGGATGCGAGCCAATAAGGTAATTCTGTAATTGTTCAAATTCCCGACAGATCTTTCGTTTTGGTCCGATTTAGATATTCCCTCTAAAGTTTTGTTTGCACTTTATTTCGTATTTTCAAGGTTTAAGATTTACTTTTCCGGATGTCAAGGGAGTAGTTATATGTAAATGAATTGGAAAATATCTCGCAAAATATTTGTGAATAGATCGAGTGCGACACCATGTTGATGGATAGCCACCACGTTTAGGTGATTTGTGATCATAAATAAACCATGTTAAGTATAGCAGAACACTGGGCCACAACGGAGTCACGATCTGGAAAAAACAAACGACACTTGCTTATTAGATATTATATATTTGAATCCAAATATTACATGATTGAATGGTCGTACTATCGTACTACTTGTTCTTATTGATTTAAAGATATATGTGAAATGAAGATATTTCTATATCTATCAACTTATGCTAAGTTGATTAGAGTATGTAATTTTTCTATTTTGACGACGACATATAATAGACTTTGCAATGCAGTTCATTTGTTCCCTAAAAACAATTTCATTTCGACTCACCACATAAAGAAGTAAAAGTAGAACAATAAAAGGCATCAGGAAGATTACTGATAAATGATAGCACACTGCAATATTTTGCACACATTGTTCTATTACATTGTTTAACCATAAATTAAACGATTTCTTATCCATTGGTGCTGAAGTAATGTTAGAATTAAGAATCTGTGTCAAAATAGTAATTCCAGGGAATGGAACTTAATAGAGAACGCCTGCTTAATCTCAATCTTCAAGAATTCAAATTAATCTATTTTCTGGTCGGTTTCTTGCTTATTTGTGTCTCTTTTTTATTTATGCATTCATACAGGTTTAATTATAAATAGAATTGGGAAAAAGCACTTACTTGGACTTGAGAACGAGTGATAATTGTCCTAGGTAATAATGCTTTCCAGCTTTATTTTTAAATAAAACTTGGAACAAACTTTTAAATGGTAGGTTACTGGAAGGTTAGTGGCAAACTAGTTGTGGCAGGAATGTCGACCCGTTTCTTCTTCTAGAATTTACTACGGAAAGTCAAAAAAAGAAAAAAAAAGCAGAACTAGTAGTCACTTGTAATCGACGATTAATCATATTTACTGGTTGTTAGCGATTGTTTGGCAATTAGAATAATTCGAAGTCATATGTAAAATAGTGAAACAGTCCTTAATAAATCGCAGTTTTGCTTATCAAAGTTGGGATTTTTTATGCGCGCTTGTGGGCAAGTCTCTTTGATGATGTGTTTTATTTCTCTTGATCAAAGATCAGAAGATGGTATGAAAATCGACTGAAATTTGTGGAAGAGAAAGAAACATTCGTACTCTATGCTGCTATAATGAACAAATGAGGTTTGGAGAAGGCGGGAAGAGAAACGCTTGCTGAGAAATTAAGGGATAATTTGCAAAATACTTCAAGACATTGTCAGTCTCCGTATGCTTGCTGGAGATGAATACAATACTACAGTCTAATTGAGAAGTAGTTGGAATTAGAAAATGGTTTATCAAACATGAAATATGTCTCCACTCATAGGATCACTAGAATTTAAAATATTGTTTTACTGGTCGCCCAGCGTATTCTGAAATAATCATGATATTTTAGGGGAAATAATTTGCAAAATAATATTGCAAATTCTTTTGTCGGCTGAATAGGCGAATTTAATGTCAGGCTGATGGCTTTTCAATTTTTTTTTTCGAGTTACGATGAGCAGTAAGTGGAAATTAATTGTCGATTTGACCTTAGTTTTTTTTTTTGTTTCTGGAAAAGATTGCATTTTTATGAAATAAATTTAATAATAAAAACGGAATGT